TCATCGCTTGCACGCTTGTAAAATACAAAAAGCATAAATTGCTTTTTATTGCTAATATTTGTTGTTATTGCTTTGCTGTTGCATATGTACATACGCAAGCATTTGTCCGCGTTTGAAGCGGCTCGCATGCGCCAAACCAATTAACAGCTACTTAAAGATTGTGCGCTGCCCGAAAACGCTTAGAGGTGAAAAACGCTATGCGCACACAACTGAACGCACACACACACACACACACACCACCGAAGCGTGTACGATGCCAGTTGAGGTGTACAAAAATAATAATAATAATAATAAAAAATTATAGAAATTCAATAAAATCAAATGTCTGAAAATCATTGCGAAAATGTGCCGAAAAAGACAAGTGTATGAAAAAATATCAACACCTTACATACATACATACATACATGCATGAGATACCCACACCAGCGGCAACCGAAAGCAGTGAGCAGCAGAGTGAGCGTCGAAAACCCAGCGCAAATGCATCGAGATTGTTGCGAGAAAATTTTGTTGCAAAAAATCTTCCACTTGCCTACGGAAAATTAAATCACTTAAGTTTAATTTATGCATTGAATCGCAAGCTTACATGCGTCTTGCGCTCATTCGCCGATGGCGTGGAAATGTGCGACAGACGCCCAACGTTGTTGGCATTGTAAGCCCACAAGCAAGCTGCATACTTGAACGCATGCGTATGCGCAGAAACGTTGGCGGTTAATAACGTAGTTGAGTAAATTGTTGGTAGCGCGGAGGGATACATACGAGGATTACAACAAAAGCTCGGCAAGTTGGTGACTTTCAATTTGTTTTTGTTAAATCTAACAATACCAAATCCTTTGCAATTATTTTATTAGTCTTCTGTTCATATTTTAGAACGAACGGCTCAAATGGAGATGAGAAAACGCAAGATAGCTGAGGATTGGTCAGACGAAATTCCACCAATAACGCAAACAGAAATTCGCCAAGTGATTATCATCGGATTCCGGCGTAATTTACAGCCAATACAAATATTCAGTGAATGCCAAATTGCGTATGGAACGATTGCACCGTGTTTAAAGACTATTTCTCAGTGTGCCCGAAGATTCCAGGCCGAGCATTTTTCCGTAGAGAACAAGCTCAGAGAAGGTCGACTGAAAATATTCAACTGATGACGTCACTGCAGCTCTAATGAAGTCCAAAATTAACCAAGACCCACGATTGACACGAGAAAAGATTGCTAATGAATTGAACTTGCATGCCACGGCTGCATCGCAAATATGAAGTAATTATCAGGGATACACGAACAAATCTACTCGTTGGGTGCCACAAACTGTATATGAGGCCCAAAAATCAGCAGTAAAAGTAGGTCGATCCCTGATTCACTTTCCGTAGTGAAGACTTCCTGTAAATCTAAGTAAAAATTCACGACTTTAGAGCATTAGCTTGAGTGATTCGAACATTTTGAGCAAAATTGTTGAGTTATTTCTCAGAACTGCTTTCAATAATTTTAATTTGTATATGCCAAGTGAAAACTGATTGAAATGTTAAAGAAAATTTTGACAAACAAAATTGAAAACTGAAAAATTTTAAAAAAGCATTTAAGCAGTTGAGCAACGAAGCAGCAACGAGCGAGCATCGAACTGCTCACATTACTCGATACCCGTGCATTTTGAGCACTACTCTATGTATTGTATATCAGATATCCTTATAAGAGCTGATGAGCATAGTCGGTAGCTGCTCTGTTTGAGAGACAAGATCTGCAGCGTTCATTCGCAATTGGTTTTGACTCTCGGGCAAAGATGACCAAATACGAAACTCTTTATTTCGTGAGAACGCACAAAACTCAGTATTTATTATAACATTTCTGAACAGTGCCACTGTGATAGAAAAATGACTTCTTTGGATTTTTAGGTATATTTTTTGGGTATTTTAGTACGAACAACGACGTCTATAATTACAATTTCAATAAAATATTTCATTGAGCAATAAATAAATATTTAATCATATTAAATTTTAATAATAAAATTACAATAATTTCTTTGATATTTACTGCTGAAGCAAATTTGTTTGGAAACAAAACCCATGGATTTTTTTTTGGCTTAGTGGTTTTACTCAACAGCTGTTGAATGTTCCCCGATTAGATACTGCTGCCAACATGAAAATGTGAGCTGGGGGAACGTTCTCAGCCGCCATTTTAGTGATTTTGAGTAAGTTTCGTATCTAGTCAGCTTTGGCTCGGGCTGACACTGGTTTTCGATCACTGACCTGTTGGATGTTCCTTTTATGCTGTAAATAAAAACTGAAGAAATTGACAATGCTGAACGAAATTTTGAGGAGGCTTAAATAATTTAATCAATAAAGTTTAAAAAATAAATTAATTACCAAATAATGTGTTGAATTTAGTAGAAAATAGTTCTATCAGCTAAAAAAATGTATTTCAAAATAATTCAAAGTACGACGTATTGATTCAGAGATATAGCATTTGAAAAGGTAAATGTCGAAAATATCAGATTTTCAAAGTTTGGACAACAGTGTGTATTTATAAATATTTTTTCATCTATTTTTTGCATTTTCTAATATGGATAAATTGCGCCAATTGCCAACTTGAGTTTACTTGCAACACTTTCGTAATTCATATACCGAAACTACCTAAATAAACAAAAAAAAAAACAAAATTTGTTAACTATAAACGACAATTGTATGTATCGAAATGGGGTCAACCTCAACCAAAACCACATCCATAAGGGCTTAGCCTAATCTTCCAACCATTCTTAATGCAGCTTCCACGCTACCGACACGAGCGTACGAAATTTATTGATTTAATTGCTTGTCATTTCCTGGTTGCCCTGTTTGATGTAGACCTTCTTTTTATATCAAACGAACGGGTACATGTGAGCATGTTTTTGAGTATAACTCTTCATTCATGATGGTGATGATGATCGTTGTGGCGCTTAAAACTTCACTCACTCACTCTTTCATTCATTTCTTCTTCTTTTTTTTTTGGTTTTTAGTTACACGCACAAATGAGGGATTAATCTTTTTACAACAGTCAATGGCGGCAAAGACATTATGAATAAATGCTGACATACATACTCGTATGTACATAAGTATATCTATATACATATATTTGTGTTTGCGGTATTACACTCCTTCTTCTGTCGGTAGCAAATACATTGGAGGTACTCCTGGCCGCTGCGGATTGTTTCGATTGTTAGTGGCAATTATTTTTGTCTTTTGCACGTCAAGATATAGATTTTTTTTATTGAGTGGAAGATGTGAATAAGTTTGATCTTTGATGTGGATGCCACTTTGGTGGACTTTTTTTTTTGATATATTTTATTATATAATTATTATTACTATTTATTTAAATAAAAATATATTTTATTTTTTAAATTTAAGAAACCCTTCATCAGCGCAGTCACGCAGTTAGCCAGGATACGTATTTCTTACTTCCAAATCATAGTTACTAATAAAAATTTGCATGGCCTTCAAAGCAGGTAAAAACTGGAAGCACCTGCAGTCGTGAGAGCAACATTAAGACGCTCAATGCAAAGTAGAGAAAAGTTCACTCAATAATTGCTGCGCCATATGCCGGTATTATGGCAATGAAGACGTAACCCCATTTACTTAGATGTTTGAGTTTAGCTAGAAGCCGATCTTTCAAAGACTCCTGACGCGTCCCAAAAATTCAAGCCAAACGTACAATTTGACTGGGCAATCTTTTAGCAGGAGCTAACTACCTACCTACTCATTGACCACTGTTAATAATGAAGACATTTGTACATATACTGAGTCGGCATTATATGTGAGACGCTACATCATTCAAATGACAGCCATTTGAGTTAATTTTCGAACACTTTTTAGCACATATTGGACGATATTTCAGTCATGACTTCACCAATATTGGCTTTCAAGTGCTCAAGAGTTAAAAGTTTGTCCGAACAACACGGTCAACGGTGTAAAATCGCACTTCCCTGCTAGCCAATTGACATCGCCAAGACGAGAGTTCACGTGGGCGTAAAATTTCTCTCCCAATAAAGCCATATCCATTCGTATTGTGTAGCAAGTGGCACGATTTTTTTTTGAGACCACATATTTTACCAGTCGTGTTCTTCAATTACACGCAAAAATAAAGTAATTTATCATACGACCATAATGCTCCGAATTGACACTGACAGCTTCATCGTTGTCGGTTTCAAAGTAGTAAGGTCACACCTACGAACCAAAGATCCCATCAAACAGTTAGGCTTTTTTGATGTAACGAAGTAAGCGATTATTTTGCTTACCCACATATCCCCCGTGTGAGAAATGTGCCTCGTGGTTGAAGAAAATTTTTTCCCGAAAAATCACCGTCCACTGCTTGTTGCTGAAACACCTGATCGACGTTATGAATCGTCAGCTGGCATCAGTTGCGGAGCAAGCTGGACTTCATAGGAATTTAGGTGTAAGCCCAAGCGGAAAATGCACCATAATGCGCCGTAAGAAATTCCCAGCACTTGAGAACGTCGAGGAAAGAACATATTTGGGTTCTTCGGCTACACTTTCACTTGCAGCAGCAATGATGCAGAGTCCTTGCAATATACGTAACTGAACCAGTTTCTTCAAATTTCTTCCAAGCTTTGACAATTCCCTGAGTATTTGGACGATTATTACCTGCACCGTAATCTTCTCTTAGAGCACGTACAGTGTACCGTGTCGTTTGCATCAGCATTTTTGAAGTAGGTTTTTGACAAATTTTACCCATTTTGCGGTTGCTAAGCAAACCATTTTTATAACGCTTGACTTTTAACTAAAACAAAACATGTTCGGCTTGACAGCTGACTTTGACAGATGTGAAAATACATCCCTGTACTTTTGAAACCCCGATATGGATAAACCTGTATTTTCTGTAATTAATTTTAACAATTTAAAACATTTATTAATATATTTATTAGAATTATTTATTCGATTTCATATCATATTTATTTTTATCTTTTGAATACATTGCCATTTTTTATATTTGTCCAATTTTGATTTTCTCTTTTCAGGCATTAAATGGGTTTCTAATGATTCTGACATGCGAAGGTGAGGTCTTTTTTGCCACGCACAGCATCGAGAGCTATTTGGGTTTTCATCAGGTAAGTGAACACAGGCACGAAAAAAAACATACAAAAAAAAAATAAAAATAAAAAAAAATAAACAAATAACAATGAAAAACTCACACGCGCTTACCTGAGGATATACGAATAAATCAATAATTTTGATGGCATATGGAATTAAAAAATTTAGAATGTATATACAAACATCTGCATATGTACGTGTATGTATACAGAGTAGGTATACATTTCAAATGTTTTTTGTTTTTTTATATGAATTTACAATTGAATATTTTTCTTTTTTTCCCAATTCTATTAAATACGTCTTTGGTATTTCCTTTGATTTTTTGATTGACTACTTTCTTCATGGTTTCTGGCATATTTTTGTGAATGAAACCAATGATTTGTTGTTGCTGTAGACACCCATCAACTCGTCGCACGCACTTGTTGTAGCTATGATATCGCGTACCTGCCTCTGCAATTAACATTTTTCCTTCTTTTCAAAAACTCTAATTGCTGGTGATTATCAAATGCGCTACCGTCTTTGATTTGCGGTTAATTACACTTTGAATACCTCATTTTTTTCATTTTTTTTTTTGTTTTATATTTTGATTTTTTTTTTTTTTAATATGCACACATATGATATTCTGGATAAATTAAGTAAATATATAATTGTTATTTTTCATTGAGCTTTGGTGAGGAAGTCATTTGACTTGAGGCTTTTGCTATCTGAATATAAAATTTGTGTTGATTTCAATATAATAACTTATGAAACGCTTGAGCTCTAAGTCATCCTTTGAAGAATTTTGTATGTAATGACTTTGAATTGATGGCGGTGTTCCACATATCTCTAAGATTAGTAGTCCATTACTATCTGATTTCTATCAAATAAGCACCATTTTGCGCATTGAGTTTTAACCATTTCGAGGGTAATGTCATTGCGTCACTCTCATATAAACTCCTGTCCCTATTGGCAAAAAACTGGAGCATTTGATTTCTCTCGAGGCCAATTTCTCATCAGCCAAATCATTCACCATAGACCACCATGGTAATTACTTGCTGCGAGGCCCTGACTTTATATAACGTGGATGAATTAGAGCGTACCAATCAAGCTCCCGGAGCTTCTGCGGTGCCCCCGTAAGTGTATGTGATTTCGCTTTGTTCTGATGAAACACAATTCTCTTCCTGTTGGCCAAAGCTGTGAGCTTCTGGGCGTTTGCTTCCCTCAGACGGCCTAATTGCTAACGTTATAAGTGCGAATTGAGATTTGGATCGTAGAGGAATAGCTCATAGTGCATGATTCCACCAAATACATAATAAAACCTTTCTGGCCGTCAATTTTGGCTTGTAGACCGTTTGCGCCGGCGCATTGATATTCGACCACGACGGTTTTCGTTTGATGTTTGCTGTAAGTGTTCGACTTTTCAACATCAGTCAACCATTGCTTCGGAAATGGGTCGATTTTCTTACAATTCAGCAGCGATTCACAGATAAAAATTTGGTTCTTGGGATTTTTTTCTTGTTTATTCATGAGGCAACATAAAACATCTGGCTTCTTGGTATATCTAGCTTTTTTAAAACACTTTCGAAAAAATCGGAATTCACGATTGCTTTCATTTGTTGTTAGGAAGGTGGGTAAGTTCCGAAGTTTTTCTGATGCTCATTACGATACCACAAGGGCTGACATTCACACCCGCAACCAAATCCTCATTAATCCACTCTGTAATCTTACGAAAGCTAAACAAGATAATTAAATTAATAAGATTAACTTTCGAGAATCATCATAGTTGAGATCCTTTTCCTATATAAAACTCAATATCCTCCTTACTAGACGTTCTACCGTCTCTTCTTCTTCATGGTACTTCATGGCAGCTTCTGCAGTAGTCGTCATATGATACCACCAGTCTACCAGTGTGTCCACTAATATTTAGATTTATATATTGCCTCTTTACTTGAGTGTAATTAGTGATTAATCATGCGGTATGATGCTAACTCTGTCAGAAGATCAATACACTCTTGCATTGCCTTTGATGTGAACCTGACTGGCTTTAGTGATTTCAAAGCCGCTTGGCTAACTGTGCAGACATTTCTGCCTGAAAAATAGCAGTGATATGGTTTGCAAAAGATGTTTATGGTGTCAAATGTTTGTCGAAAAGATACCATCTCCTACTACCTTATCTATCTTTCAGTACGCAATGCTGACCAGTTTATAACGATCTTAAATAAACCTTACAAGATTGGGTTTCAATAGTTGCTCCCAGCTGAAGATATTTTCTAGACGCCAATGGAGAGAGAGATTCTGTGAGAGAAGTTGGTACCCTCCTGGGTCCGAAATGGACTGCGGAGTGGGAACAGGCGTATACTTCTAGCATCTTAACGTTTCTCTCTCTTCCTATCGATCTACCCAACACAGCTAGCATCTCTTAAGCGGAAGTAATAGGTATAGAGAAGGTTTATGAAGCTCTGTTGAATAGTAACAAGAAGTAGAAGAAATTAACAATATAAACAGACCGCCTGGCTGCCTGACTGACTTTAGGCACACTGGCTGGTAAATTTCACTTTTCGATAAAGTTCAGGTCACAGGCACATTATCGTTAGCTAAAAAGCAGAGAAGTTAGCTAAATGAGGTGCCCCTCTAAAGTCTTTAGAGGAATCCGAGGGGTTATTAACATCATGCCTACTAAGGAAGATCAAGAGAGAGATTTATACACATTTCACTCAAATAACTTGGGACAAATGGAAATCTATAACCAATTTCAATATAACGAATCAGATATCATCAATGGATAATAATAGTTTATGAAGAGCACCAAATGGTGTGAACACAACAATGAAACTGGATAGCAAGAGTATATATGTACGAGTATATAGGTCTCACGGTTAGTGCCATACGACTGAGCCTGAGAGGCTTTTATCTACCAATCTACATATGTGGAATACTCTTCTTATCTTCGATAAGAAAACCAGAGATCAATCTATTGATCGTACGATGGATGCCTTTCATATTTCGGAATTTGGCAACTGAAAACTTTATCGTAAAGTTTGACATTTTCCAGAGCGTTGTCACGTACGAACAGTATTTGCGTTGTTTACAGTGACCTAAAATCTTCAAGCCAAAAAATTGAACAAAATCGCGAACATTTTTTCCAACTTTCGTTGTGGACTAACTCAGCAACAGACCATCGATGGACTTAATTCAATTTTCGGCTATGAAGTTGCATGAAGGACCAGTGTTTATCACTCGAAGACGAACTTCGTAAAGATCATCATTGTAAGATCATGAGTCCTATCGTGAAATTGAAATCTTCATGCATTAGAGTTCAAGCGATGTTGTTTCAACATTTTCGACTAGTTCGCGCGCTTGAGTGACGAGTACTCGCACACCATTATTAGATGCTCATTATTCGAAAAAAAATAAAAAAATGTTAAAGAGCGACCATTGAGCGCGTGTCCCCGTGTTATTAGAGTTCTCTAGTTCTGTTATTTTTCGGCTATGACTGCTGCTTTAAGTTCAATTCGTTACGTACATTTATTTATACAGTTACTCAGATGTACAATCAAAATAAAGAAATTGGAAAAAATTCGCCGATCAGCTGCACAAAAAGCCAATCGAAGTTTTAATTTTTAATTGAGATGCCAAAATGGGCGGCGCAAATGTCGATTTACACATTTACAACTAAATTAAAAATTGCACAAACAATCAACGAAATATACAGAGTACTTATGAAATCTCTCAAGGTGTATGTATGCACATCACTAACTGTGTGTGTGCTGTGTGTGCTGTGTGTGTGTGTACAAAACAAATATTGTTTTAGCAACTGAAATCTGGATGCCAGATATTGATGTCAGGCAGTTGCAACACGAGCGCGGAGCTTTGGTAAATGTGTTGCAACCCAAATCGTGTAGCAAGAATTTCATCCATACGCAACACCTTTTTTCTCATTGCTGCAAATAATAAAATACAATACCAAAAAAACCAACAGCAGCAACAACATTAAGGTTAAGCAAACAAGCAGATAAATGCATTAATAATAAAACAAAATAACAACAATAAGCAAAAGTGTGGCAAATGTGCTGAACTTACTCAGCGGCGCCCCCAACCACGGCTACAGCGTTAAGACGGCGCACATTTGTGTTTAACCGTAAATTTTTGTTTCTATTATTGCACAGTATTAGCGCTGTATAAACATAGTTACAATGTTATAAGTTCTCGCAGACACCACCTTTCAGCCAACAACATAAGCAGCTGCATTGGAGCAAGGAGCTCCCAACTCAGCCACGCAGCGCAGCCAATATGTGGAACAGCTCATGTGTAGTCCGATCAAGCATTCGCTAAGTTTACAAGGTAAACAAGAGCAAGCGGCGGAAACAGTTGCCGGAATCTCCTCTAAACAAAAATAAAATCTGCACTTATCTATGTGTGCGTGTGTATATGTGTGCGTGTGCGTGTATATGGGCAAACAATTCAATTCAATTCAATTCAATTTGATCGCTGCCAACAGAGGAATCCGCAAATGCGTTCGATTTAACGCCAAGCAAAGGCAAAAAGCAATAATAACAACCTGTTAAACCAACGAGGAGAGTTCGGAAAGTTCTCAACATGAACTTGTCTCGTATCTACATACATACATTTGTGCCTTTATATTAGTGCAAAAACACGTTCAGTCAGTAATCGATTGCATTTGGCTTTTTAATTTCTTATTTTTTGAACCTTGCATGTATGTACATGAAATGCTAGATTAGCTTTAGTCCGAAGTAAGTAAGTACCAGAAGGAGAAGATATAGACCCATCAAACTTTAAACCGATCGAGTTGTTAAAATAGTCACGTCCATCCGATCATTTGTGTATGAGTATGAGTAGTAAACTTGCCAAAAAAAAGTATCTAAGAGCATAAAAGCTGGTGTTCCCCAGACATATGATGCATTTCATTGTAGTACTGAAAATCATCGAAATCGGAGGACTACTCGTGTATCATCCCTTTCAGCGATTTTTCCAAATATGAGACCCAGCGCATGACTCAAAAAAAGAGAGTGAAAGCTTGAAATTTTATATTCTACACACATACGAGTATAAAAAAATCGAAGACCTATGTCATATAGCCGGCAGGAAATGTCAACCCCTCCGAGTGTATTTCTGACATGAAATACCGCTCGGTAACGGCTTAGTATAGACTGTAGGTCCTTCCATTTGTTAAAAAATCATCAAGACGAAAAACCACAAATTGGAGGAGGAGCTCAGCCGACAATCGCTTCAGCGATTACAAAGCGCCAATTTATATATCTATCCCATATAGACACCGCAACAATACGAGTATCTAATTACAAACTGAAATGCCATAAATTTGATATTATCATGAAAGGTATAAAGGCTGGAGTTTGACGAAAGTCAGCTCTTCTTTCTTGTTTTTGTTTAGTCTAAGCCCGACTCTAATGTATATTTATGTGTTTAAAAAAATGCCGTAATAATTTTCTTTAAATTATTTTTATAATTTTTGTAAGCATTGAAATGCATTCCTACCTCTCCCACGACTGTAAGCAGACGAAAATCATGAATCAGTTAAAAAATCAAGATAGGTCGCGACTATTTCGGAAAATAATTATTTTCTTTCCTGCCTTCATTCGAATAAAAGCACGTCAGACGAATTAGTGAAAAAAATCGAGCTCTCGATTAAAGTTTCTTAACTTATTTCGCCTTATCGTGAATTTAATCTAAAATATTCAGTTGAAATTTTTAATATTTAACAAAAAAATTCTGAAATAATTTATAATTTCGTAGATTATATTAGATTATGACATAGCAAACTAGATGTTACGACTAATATAGACATTTGGTCCTTTCTAGTGCCAGGTGGAAGTTCTATTCAAACGTCGCAAAGGACATCAATGTTTATTGCGATGTTTGAGAAAACCAGCTTTCTAGTCCTTTGAACAACCAAGCTCTTATTTGATATGTCACATGTATTCTAGAAAATTCAAGAAAAAACACAAAAGATGTTACCTCCATACACTAACTGCTAGTAATCCGTGTTTTGCACGAGTGGGGACTGCCTTGCAGTTTTTACGAGACCGTACGAGCGAAAAATGTGTATATGCCTTGCTTCACTAACAACGCATATGATCTAAGGCTGCAACTACCCAACGCGCATACCAGCCGTCCATAGTAACCTATCTTATGAGAGCGCCATGTAAACACAAAGTTGTCATCGCTTTCCCACACCGTTGGTGACGGTTGTTCCCCAGAAACCAACGAAGTTTTGATTTTTTCCGTAAAACCGGCTCGGCTCTTTTTTCGTTGCTATACAAGGTTGCCAGTATAGCCTTTCTTAAAGTAACATTAAATAATCGAAGATAATGCGTAGTTTTGTTCAAAAGAAATGAAAAATAAATGCGTAACAAATTATTTGTTACCATATAGATCATGTATATTTGCCTTGTGTTTATGTTCAAGCATATAAATTATGAAATTTGTTGACGAAAATTATGAATTTGTTCAAAAGTGTGCAAACACACAGGCAGCTGGCAATATTTCGCCGCTCTCAGCGGCGTCGATAACTCGTGTGTTTATCTCGCCTTTTCGTCGCCACTTATGGACGGCTGGTAAGTGAAATGGGTAGTTGCAGCCTTAGTTGCTCTGAATGCCATTGAGGTGTGTGTTTTCATCCTGCTCGTCTGGCGGCTCTCTCAGACATTACTTTATGTAGAGTCTTTAGCCTATTTCTTATTTGAGTTGTTCGGTCGCCGTAATCACATGAACGATTTCCTTCTCCACCATGCTCTTTCGGCTTGGAACCCATTAGATATGCCACCCTATCCACCTGCTTCGAATAGCATTTTCTGAAGTAATACTTTTTCTGAAGTAAGACTCTCTCAGGAAAATACAGTGCATATCACCTGGGTGCCGAGTCACACGGCTGAAAAGGCGAATAAGCTGGCTCGCGTTGGGGCTGCTGAAGATTTTGGCATCATTGACTGGTTTGCCCTTTCAACGCCTTTAAATGATGTATAAATTTGTGAATTTTGAAGCAACACCTAAGGGCGTGTCACACTTCCACCTTTGGACGTACCACCAAACTAGTAGGGGTTAGTGAGGATTTTAGAGAAACCAAACTGTTACTAACTTTAAGCAAACGAAAACTTAGTGATTTTGTGGTTGTATTGAGGGGCTTTTACTCCGGAGACGACATCTCTTCAAACTTGATTAAGTGGAATCGGCTGAGAGTAGAGCATGCACCTGATCCAACCTGATGGAATTAAATTAAATTAAATTAAATTAAATACGTTTGAATAAATCGATTAGGTTAAGCTGAAGAGTACTAAACTTTTTTATGGATAGTTCAAAAACTGAAGAAATTATCGGCGGTAGAATCGAGAGCTATCTCACGGCATAAGTTATAGGGTTTCGGACCATCACTTTCAAGTTCCTTCAAATAAAACTCAACTACACTTAGCTGGTCTCAACGGAATCTTCGGATATTTCTGTGCTGATAAGATACCCCATAGAGCTACCGTTGCTCTACTGTTTGTCAAAACTCATTCTCACTTCTGTACAGGAAGATCTTTAACTAATTGAGAGAGTGCTAGACAATCACTTCTATACACTCGAGTGCTGTATAGTTTTTGGTATGAGGTAGACCGCGGTAGATCAGGACAGTTCCCTACCCTTACAAAATTATAACTCTCACCCACGTCGCAGATTCCGACTCGATACTGTCCTATTGGTAATCACGAGGTGAGACTTGAGATTTTATCGCTGATTAGACATTACTGACATTAAGAAAATTAACGGACCTGCACTTAATGTTTCGCTGAACAAAGTGTTCCCAGTGGCGTTCCAAACTCTTTTGAGGACTCATGATGCATATCTATACCTCTTGGATGCAAAAAAAAAAAATAAATAAATAAAATAGAGAGAATATTTTTGATGTGAGAAGACAGAGTTTTTGTCTACTACTTCTTCCCAGTAGCACGCAGACTAGAGTCTGGCGATTTCTTTTGATTCGAAGCTTATTTTTTGAGGCGAGACTACAGTCTCTAGAGTGGGTATCCTCCGGCAGTTGCCTTATGAACCGAATTGAAAATAAATTTTAACATTTTAAAATCGCTGTGCGATCTTTAACTTATTTTTTTCATTACTGTGAATACCCAACACGAGAGCTCTTTTCGATATCTTAGGAATATAATCAGTTAGCGCTCCGCTACCCCGTTAAACAATTGTAGGTTGAGATGTACGTTTGTATGCGTACATATATTAAAATATATCTCAATTTGAAGCAGACAACTCCTTCTTACTTGCAACAAGAAAAAGCACAAAGAGCAGCAAATAATAACAACAACAGCATTGCACAGTGCGACCCTCCGTAAACTGCGCGTCTGCGCGGAAATATGCCAAACCAGGTTTCCAATTTGTCTGCTGCATGATTTATAAACCATGGAGCCAATAAAGAATTCAATAAGCAAAACAAAGATGCAAAGCGAAATAAATAACTTAAGAATAAAAAAAAGCTTAAAATATGTATATGTATGTAGGAGTATGCGCGAGCCATAAAAGATTAAACAATGACACGGCTACTGACCCCAGTTCTTTCATGCCTCTTCCATTGTATTTTGTTCTCAACTCCTTTCAGTCAGATATCGTGCATCAGTCCGTTTACGAGCTAGTCCATTCGGAGGATCGTGAAGAGCTGCAGCGTCAGCTGTTGTGGAATTCTTTTCTACCCGCCGACATGTCTACCATACAATTAGCCGATACGCTGGCGCCCGATAAGGCGCTCTACTTGGAGCGTAGCTTTACTGTACGATTTCGTTGCCTGCTTGACAATACTTCCGGATTTCTGCGTTTGGATATACGTGGACGCATCAAAATCCTGCATGGACAAAATCGTAAAACCGAAGAGCCACCGCTGGCGCTCTTCGCCTATTGTACGCCATTCGGACCACCCAGTCTGTTGGAGATACCACACAAGGAGAATATGTTCAAGTCAAAGCATAAATTGGATTTCTCACTTGTCTCGATGGATCAACGGTGAGCAATAGTAGTTTTTTGTATATTTTTTATTTTGTTATGAAATTAATGTTTATTCTTCTTATTTTCTATGCACCTCGCAGTGGGAAGCATGTCTTGGGTTACTCGGATGCGGAACTAGTCAATATGGGCGGCTATGATCTAGTGCACTACGACGACTTGGCTTATGTCGCTAGTGCGCATCAGGAGTGTGAGTAGAGCGATGAAGTAAGTGCAGGGATGTTAAGTTTGAAAGTAAAATTTTTGCCTTTCCAGTACTGAAAACCGGCGCTTCCGGCATGATTGCGTACCGCTATCAAAAGAAGAATGGCGAATGGCAATGGCTGCAAACGAGGTTAGTAACATCTAAAGATCTACAATGCCCATGAAACGGTTGAGAGCCAAGTGCTGCTTATGGAAGTTTGATTCTGGGTGTAAGCAAAATCGACTGAATTCCTAAGTTCACTGCAAGTAAATGCGACGTTGGTATAGAAAGGTTCACATAACTTTCCTGCTGATTTGCTGAATTGATAAAGTTGCGAAGCAGACCAGACCCCACAGTCTGAGCACACTCGGATACAATAGTGTCATCAAAGGAGCTGATGCATGTGTGGCATCCGTCCTCTATGCCGTTGAATCAATGATGTAGAACTTTTTTTAATTCTTTAGGGTTCGGTTTGGTTGCCTCCAATGCGAGGTTAAGAAAACCTCAACCGGCTCTCGATTGTGGACTCATCTCTTGTGCATCAAACTTTTCTTGTATTTTTAGAATTGTCTTCATGCCTGGAATGTAACAGTAGTCCGAGTCTATGCCAGCAAGATTCATTCTAGGTCTTTTGAATGGAGCTAGTAGGAATAGAAGAAATGCTTTACCAGCTCAACAGTTACTGCCGTTGGGACTGCAGTTGATGGCTAGAAGGCCGTCTGCAGAAAAGATAGTGACCAGTCAAAGAATCTTGGCTTAGAAGATTTGAGTGCGTTGTACTGCATAATCTCATAGAATTAGGTAGTAACCAGGTATCAGAGCTGCCAACCTATTGAGTTTACCGTTACCGCATTTACAGCGTGTTTCATACTAGCTAAATGAAATATAACATACACCCTGCTGAATCTATGTTTAAGCAATACTTAGGCTCTCTTGTCTTGGTTCAAGTTTTTCTAAAGAACCGATAAACCTTGGTTTAAGATCTTCTGCACCAAATTTAACCTTTTTCCGTTCTACTTTGCAGTTCCCGCTTAGTGTATAAAAACTCTAAGCCCGATTTTGTAATCTGTACGCATCGCCAGCTGATGGACGAAGAAGGACACGATTTGCTGGGCAAACGTACAATGGATTTCAAGGTGAGCTACTTGGATACAGGCCTTGCGTCCACCTACTTCTCGGAGGCGGATCAGTTAGTGGTGCCGCCAAGCACATCGCCAAATGCGCTGCCGCCACCAGTGACACCAACGCGGCCAAATCGACGCTATAAAACACAATTACGGGATTTTCTCTCTACCTGTCGAACGAAACGCAAAATGCAACAGCAACAGCCGCAGCAGTCCTCCTCATTGGGACAGGTGAGTTAACAGAGATTGATGGAATTTTGTAATTAATGCTTAAGATTGAAATTTACGTTTGTCAGGTTCCTTCGCCGGCGCCCGTTGTGGAATATTTGCCAGATCCCGCTGTAGCTGTCGCCGCCGCCTATTCGAATCTCAATCCCATGTACACAACCTCGCCCTATGCAACCGCTGCGGATAACATTTACATGGGCACCTCGGTACATTCGACCAATTTCTATCCAGTCACGGAGAATCTCTTCCACCAGTATCGATTGCAGGGTGTGAGTAGCTACTACACGGATTATCATCATTCGGGCGCGCCTGCTTCGGCTTATGTCACTAACGGTTTCCTGCCCTATGACGGCTACACAATTGCACCGAAGGATGACAAGTGGCAGGATACGGGGAAGTACTATAGCGGCTATAGTAGTGGATATGGCAGTCCCACATCGACACCACAGGTGAGTCCGTGCTACTTTGGCGGCCATTTTCACGCTCACAACAACAATGTGTTACACGATTCGTTGTAGCAAGTTCCGCTGAAGACACCCAAGTCCTCGCCGCACATCATGGAAGTAGTGTCGTGCTCATCGGATGGACCATCACCGATTGATGGCAGCACTGCCGTCGCTACTGTGCCAGCACATGCGGTGAGTGTGGTGAATAGCAATGCGAATATTACAGTTAATGGCAGCAGTAGTGGCGGCGGTAGTGCAACACCGAAACTCGAGCTAGCGGCGACTCAACACGATCCGTACGAGCGACAAACCGTGCTGATGTGGGGTTCGCAATCCAGCGGCATACCGATCAACAGCATTGGTGGGGGTAGTAGTAGGCGCCATCACAGCAATGCTGAACGTTCGCCGCAAACCACGCCATTAACAAATGGACTTAGCTATACCAACAACAACAACAACGAAAACGATGTGGTAACCGCGAAGTGGAATGGCAACGCACGCACCAAAGATATCAAGAACGCCGCCACACCGGACAGTTATCAACTGCAGCACGACGATTCGGGCCTCTACTCATCTTCCTCACACACCACTTCGCCGCAGCAGCAGCAACAGGTAGTGCCAACAAACCAACAACAGTCAACGCAACGACCCAGCGTCGGCAATTCAGTGGCCGACCAGCAAATATCTAACAGCACAGCCGCACATTTGGTGCACGCCCACACGCAACAACAGCAACAGCAGCACTTGCACGTCCACATGCAACACGCGAACGCTCCTCCACTCCCACACTCCCCCTCTTCCAGCACATCCGCCAATACGTTACCGTTGCAAACGCACACAGCGGCCTCAAACGCCGTTGGCCCAGCACCCACAACAACAGCTGCCATAGCATCGGCGGCGGCGGCGGCGGCAGCAACAGCAGCAGCACATCAACATGCACATTCACAGCACGCTGCGGTGGCGGCAGCGGCAGCTCAACATCACCATCACGCCCACCACCATCCACATGCGCACGCTCATACGCACGCACACTCACACCCTCATCATCATCATCATCCCCACCATCATGCCCATCATCATGCCCACGCACATGCGCACGCTGCTCATGTGGCGGCGGCGGCGGCAACCAACGGTAGCGAGGTATGGAGTCCTGCGTACTCGCAATACTCGCATTCGTATTTCACTTATCACCATCACCATCATCACCATGCCACCGCAAACACCAACAATAACAACACAATCGGCACTGCAAACACTGCTTCTTCTTCTTCCTCTTCTTCCAGCACTGCACACAACAGCTCACATAATATTGTGGCAGCAGCGGCGGCAGCTGCGTCTATAACGCAGCATGTAGGGGGTCCGCTGTGAGCTTAATTAGACAATGGAGAACACACAGTTAGACACACTTGCGCTCTAGCTGCGTAATTTTATATGTACACAGTAGCTGTGGGTTTGAAGAGACAGCAAGCATAAATAGCACCATGAAATTTAGCTAGGAATGTAATTAGAAAAAAATATATATACTCTACGGCTATTCTAATCAAGAGACAACCTCAAGGTTTCAAGCAACATGTTGCCAACAGACTGCCAACATGAGCTGATGGGGCGCAGTACATAGACGAGTGCTACCTTTGCGAGAGTCCGACCTTCAACCGATTGGTGGACATGGTGGGAACAGTTAAGGCAATAAACTTAAAGTCAGCTTGGCTACAAAACTATTCGACCTTTTTTAAAGAGCCACAGCGCTTAATAACTTCCCGTTGTAACAATTTAATGGTCACTCCGCACCATCTCCAATTTTCCTTCTGGAACTCACCCCTGAGCTCCATTTGATTGAAAGAAGAATGAAGAATCGCGAACTATCGCTGATTTGTTTCATATGAAGTTCACCTCCCGAACTCTTTTAAGAGCCAAACGGTTCGAGGAATAAATTCAAGAGTATAAGCATTATCTCTCCCCGAGCTTAGACACTTCCTTATCAATCCAACAAACAAACCTTTAAGCTTTATGTTTCGGATCAGCATCTTATTGGGAAACAATATCTTTCTCAGGGCAAGCATATTTCTCCATAAAATCGACATAATCGACTTGGAGGATATGAAGACAATTAACTAAATCCAGAGGGCCAACAAAAGGCTATACGTAGTCTTGCTTTTCATCTCGCTGAAAGTTGTTGTAATGCGACTCATCACATCAGATAACCGACCATGTTGCTCATGAAATGAGAACAAAGTTATTTCTCACCACATTTTCAAAAATAATAAATTCCAGGCGAGAGGCCAAATCTTCTACCACTTTGAGCAGCAATTAGGACCAGATATTATCTCCCAAGGCGTCAATTGTCTTGGACGCGAAGCAATGCGCTCACCAAAAGTTTCCTTCTATGAATTGATTGCTTCGTGGGCTGTATGACATGTAGAGCATAGACTTTAGGTATAAGTTTAACGGAGTAATATCACACGATCTTGGTGACCAATTGACCGGCACAAAACATAAAATTATCTGCTCAGCTAAGTGTTCTCTCAATAAATCCATTGATTGATGCGATGTGTGGGTAGTGGCGCCGTCTTCTTTAAACCAAATTTCGCCGAGTTCAGGAGCTTCGATTTCATGTATCGAATGGTCGATTATCAGGGCGCGTTTACGTTCATTAAATATGCACCGACAATTTTTGGATAAAATTGCAGCTCTTAAATATCTTCAGAGGATCTTTGTCCCAAATGCGGCAATATTGTATTTACATACCCATAAAGCCAGGAATGGGCCTCTTCGCTGAACAAAATTTAGCTCGAAAACGTCGGATCTTCTTGGAACTATTCAAGAGCCCATAAGCGAAACGATGTCGCTTGGGAGGGAAGGTCGAGGCGGCTTCGGTTCTAACACGAGCTGTATTTTATAAGCTTGTGGTACGCATCTCGATTCAAACAACTGTAAGAACCTACAGTTTTTGGATGTTGGTCTTGAATCCTGGCTTTCCAAATGGCAGTACGAAATGCTAACCACTCGGCTATCGCGGCCGGCTTGTGAGTTCGATTGCCATTCTCCAGATATGACCATTTTATTTATTAACACACACATTCAGTCAAAAGGGAGATTCATAGATGAATAAAATTTTCTTTAGAAAATCGACTTTGGGCTCATACACCGAACGTGCAACGCGCTTGATTGGCATTCGGATTCAGTTCTTGAATGTTCTGGATTTTGTCGTCTTCCAGAAAGTGGATAAGCACAGCTGCAATTGTTACGCGCGATGGCGCAGGGACTTAATCGGGTCTTTTTCGATTCTGTACTACCTATTCACAAGACTCCATGGTTGCTCGAGTTACTAACTCTGCTGAGCGATTGTGTCGACCGAACCGAACTATTAATTTGATAATAAATTTGCCCAATTTGCAAATGTTGCTCTTCGGAGTAAGTCTGTTTATTGTGAAATGGCTAACCAAACTGAGTATAAATCAATTGACAACTGTCAAACAGGACCAACTCCAAGAAAACTATTGTCTCATTGAAAACCACATGTCTAAAAACAACACCCTTTGATAACCAGTTTTAAGAAAAAAATAAGACAAATTTGCCCTTTAAACATTTTGTTCGAATTTTTAAAATATTTCGGTAACAAAAATTACAGTATTTGATGAAAGCTCTCGAGTTTTTAACGGTGTTAGGTATTTTCCCAGGCCATGATGCATATATATTTTCACTTCTTTTCACAAAAATATTCTCACAGGCATTTTCTGTCAATTTTATGCTGCTTTTCATGCCTTTTTTTGCTTTCTTTCTTCAAGTATATGTATGTATGTATATCTTATACGAGTAACTTAGTTTCAGCACTCAAATCACACTTATCAAAAAAAAAAAAAAATATGAAAACATAAATTTTCAACAAAAGTATTTACTTTTAGCTATAAAAAAAATGTAGTCCGTAGTTTTTTGTTTTAATTTAATATTGTTGTTGCTGTTGTTGTCGCATACACAAATTGTATTTTTGTATAAATAGTTGTTGTTAAAACATGTGCAATATACACCATCACTAGTAAGGAATTATTTATTTACATATACACGTATGTGTGTACATATGTACGCATACCTCAAGTGTACTTTATATAATACAAAAACAAAAAAAAAACAAAAAAATATTTTCATTAAAATCTACTAACAAGCAAACATTTCTCACCTCCTCTAACCCAAACCACAAAAAAAAATATATGAAAATCAACAAAAATGTAGGCATTACTCAACCACCAGCAACAACAACAATTGGAGCGGCAGCAGCAACAACAATTGGATCAACTAGAACTACAGCAACTGAGCTACGCCAACCAATTGCAAACACTACCAAACTGTAACTCCACAGCTTCATCCAGCTCATCACCCACATGTCACTCACCCACCGGCGGTAGTGGCGCAGCTGGTGGTGGCGTCACAGGAGGAGCGACAATTAATTCCAGCAACAATGCCGTCGTCAACCAAATTACACTATTGAATGGCAGCAGCAGCAACAATGGCAATGATACAGAAATCGGTGTAGCAACCTCACCAACCGACACCGCTCCCGCCACCGCTACTATTGTTGCTTCGAACAACGCCGCAGCCTATCATCATCACCATCAGTTGACAATCATAGCGCCAATAGTAATTACACCTGCATCGATGATGAATGGCGAAGCGGCGCTGCCACTGAATACCGCACTTCAGCCCATACATGCCAATGAAGCGCACATTGCCTCAGCAACGACAACTGCAACAGCCGATGTGGGTAGACACCATCTGACGCATCACCCAGTCGTTACACAACACCATCCGGCGCATTTACTAACGCACACGGCAGCTCTGGCTTATGCGCCCGCTGCCGCCACGGCGACTTATTTGATAAGTGGCGCTGGAGGTGGTGGTGGTGTTGGTGGTGTTGGCACCACTTTGCTTGGTGGCAATGGCAGTGGGAGTGGCAGTATTAGTAATGGCATCAGTGATCACATAATGGGGCATGGCAATCCCTTGTGCTCCTTCTCGGAGGTGACAAATACCTTGTTGAATCAATAAGCCTTGAGCCTACACGGAGTAGACGAGTAGAGGTGGTTAATTATTTATTCATAAGCTATTTTAAATTTATTTTTGCGAACCCTATATTTTTGGGAGAATATCCACAATTTCAAAAACTAAATAAACTTTAAAAGTATTTGAATATTTCGTACACAACAACAGCTCAGTCGAGCATAAATATTTCTATGAGCTAAGGTTTCAGAAACAACTCAGACAGCAGCTTCTTTTTGATCAATAATTTTAACTGCAAATACAACGGCAAAGTGTTAAGTTGTTAGCCAGATTAGAAGCGAGTGATTGGACCAATGGTCGGAAAAACTATGTACGAGGGGCGACAAACAAGTGTAGAGTTTTATGTTTTTTTTCAATATCTTTTATCTCAAAAGAAAATCCGCTCTTCACAACGTGAATGCAATGCCTTTGTACCACCAAAATATTAGATTTATCTTCAAAATGGTTTCCTACGATCGCCTTCATATCACTTTCGTCTGAAAATCTTCGTCTATATCGCTAAAGTCCTCTAAACGCATTTCATATCCGGTCGAATTTTCTATGTTGTGTCTTGCCTTAGAATTTAGTCTGTTAAATTAGAGGTTACCTTCTAAGAATATATATATAGCTATTGGCAGCATAAATCGCCGTTGAATGAACACAAATTTTGAGCTTACGGTAAGAAAGTCCAGCCGCTTGTACAATAAATAAATTATAATCAAACAGCCTGAAAGAGAGCTTAAAGGTAGAGTTGTTAGCCCCAAAAAACTCTGTCATTGATCTTTGATCCAACTGTAACTAACTCAATAATAGCTGCAAAGCAGAAAAAATTCCTAAAGAGAAACGCTAAAGAAGGCTCAAATATTCAGACCATCCAGATCTCCTACTCGATATTCACTTGTATTTCAGCAAGCGTCAGATGAGCTTTCGAAATGAATTATGGTTTTAGAAAAGTTTAAAAATCGTTTGAATGTTAGCAATATTCCTTAAAACCCGCTTTCCCTCTGGTCCGCACCCGTCGTAACAGGCCGTTTCCGGCCCGGCTCACGTTGAAGGACCTCGATAACTTAAGCTGATCTTGCCTGCTCCTAAGCGAGGAGCGCTACTAGACGCTATAGCAACAACAAAAAAAGTTAGCAAAGCATACTAGCACGCGAAAGATTATGGGCGCAAAAGAAGAACACAGAAAGTTCATTTGAATTTGAATAAAAAAATTAACAGCAGGGCTAACTCCACATAAGAATCCATCAGCCTTTCGGAGGTGGCTTCGGAAAATCTGTTTAACCCTACATTTTTCGGAACAACTTCAAGACGCACAAGACAAATGGAAGGCGGCACTCAAGTGTAATCCTCTACAGATTCAGATCACAAAGCGGAAATTATATATAAAAATTGAAAGAAGCGTTAGACGTTTTATTAAAAACTTTATGGATTTTATTTAAAATATGCATAAATCCAGCTTTGTACTGAGAACTAACCGATAATTTGCTAGTTTGAGTTAACTTTCCACTGCAAAAGCAGAGAATTAAATATATTTCGGCCAGTCAGTCCGTGTGTAGTCATGAAAAGAAACAGGAATTTAATTTTAAAAAAGTTTACAAAAAAAAAATACATAAAAAATTATGCAAATAAAATAGATTTTAAGAATGGAAAATATTCAAAAATATATCAAAGCAAATAAACGCAAATAAAATATAGTTTCATAATATAAAATAAAAATTTGCCAAAATATATGGACTATCTATAATACATACATACATCTGTGCATCTTCCATAACCTCAAAGAACAGACATTAATACGCATATAATCAATTATGTGTAGGCAAAAAAGAAAATGAAAATTAAAAAATATTAATTCTGTAAATAAAAATGAATTTAGCAAGAATTACATTTAATTTTTTTTTTTTAAATGGAAAAAAATTGAATTCTGTTGGTGGTAGCGAGTGCATCGAAATATGAGTGAACTTTCTCGGTCAAAGAATTAGTAAAGATTTTCAATTTGCAAAAATTAGAAGAAAATATTTACTTGTCACATTATGCCGACCAATGAGTTAAAATGTTTGTCTGATTTTGATTATCCACGGAAGACTTAAGGCACAAACTTGCTTGCAGGTTTTCATCAGGTTTGTGTCTTAGCTCTTTTAAAATATCCCAATAAGTTTTTTGTTATTCTCTTATGTAAATAAATGCAAATGTTGGTAGAATATACTGAATGATAAATGAAAAAAAAAACATCCAACAAGAACAAAAAAGCTCAAATTAAACAAATGTACCATTTCATGAAGACATCTGTATAAATGCTTTACAAATGACCATTGTACTTCCTCCATGTAAAGTAATATACCAAATAATGCTTGAAAAATCGCGTAGACAATTTTGAAATAAATTAAAATAAATAAAAGAAAAGAAAAGGAGACAACAACAGCAACAACCAAACATAAAAACAAACTACGCAGCCTTTTGAAACTGTCTCAAAGAAAAATAGAAGAAAAAAATATCTACTTTGCTATAAACAAATTTGGAAGAAAATAAATGCTTTCATATTTCTCTAATAATCACAAATTAACGCATTTTATTCAAATCAAAAATAAGTCTATAAAATAAAATTGTTTCGAGGTGTAACGCGCTGCAGTAGAGGCAACCAAAGAATAAGTAAAAAGAAAAGGTGAAATAAAATGTGAAAATAATTAATTGTAATTAATTAAATAAATATAATTAATATCAAAAACTTAATTAACGAAATTCAAAAAAAAAACAATATTATAATAAATAGATTTATGAACAAATGGCCAATTCCGCATACCGCTACTACTAATTTTGAAAATAGTAATAAGTTAAATAATACACTTTTCTTAAGGTTGTCACTCAAAGAAGAAATAAAGCAATTTCCAAACTTAGTTATATTAATTTGACCAATTGTAAACTATTTACGCTACTGTAAATTGTAAATTTTATACATTTAAAATGCGTTAGCATTTAAATACATAAAAAAACACGCAAATTTAAGCATGCAATATAGGTATATACATACACTTGTGCGCATACATATGCGTATGCGTACTATATTTATAAACAACAAGCAAAATAAATCTTTAAAAAAAAATTAAAGATTTTAGAAAAAAGTTAATTTAAGGCTTAAAAAACGAATGTAAATTACGTTAGGACTTTGGAAAACTTATGTATACTAGCAAAAACAAACAAAAAAACAATAACAACAAAATTAATTTTATTTACTAAAAATTTAAAAAAATATTAACTATTTTTAAATAAATGAAACATAATAATAAATATCAAATTTAGTAAACACATTTTAATATGTAAATAGTTTTTACTAAAAATTCAGTTTCCTATTGCTTAAGCATTAATTAATTAAATAATTAATATTAGTAATATTATATACATAAATAATCAATATTATATAATGTATTATAAAACATATAAAACAATCAATAGTAAAAAAATGGAATTTAATTACATAAATATCTAGTCGCAATTAATTACAAAAAAAAAATAATAAAAAATTAAGCTGAGTATTAAAAAAATTATTTAAAAAAATTATTAACAAAAAAAAAATTAAAGGTAAAATAAAAAATGGTCAATACTATTTTTTTATTGGTATTAACCATAACACAACATCGCATGCCAATAATAAAAACAATTAGCAGCAAAAAATTTATATATAAATTTTTAATACACTGTAAATAAATATTTTCTATGTACATATGTACTACGACTACATAAAAAAATTATTAAACATCTTTAAATATATAAGTAAATTCCAACACGTACATAGATAGGATTATAAGCATATAAAAACTAAACTAAAATTATTGTATTTCGCTAGCAATAAAGAGTGACCAAAATTAATATTAATAAAAAAAAATTAATTAAATTTTAAAATATTAATTTTGTTTTGGCTTTTCTAGAATTTATCAAATTTCTTTAAGATTTTTTAATTTGTTCTCACATTCTAAATTGAAAATAAAATTTCTTGGCCATTAAACTATATATAATATATAATGTAGAGTCTCTAAATCCTACAAGACATGCATCGTTAACCAAATAAAAATTGTAAAAATTAAAATACAACGCTTGTTTACATACATTAATTAATAATAAAAATTTTGAAATCTTAAATATACCATGAAAAATTATCAAATCATAAAATCTGTATATCATTTTTCTGTCTAATTGAAAACTAAAGGTTTGTACCGTTGTTATGAACCTAACTTACGCCTATAAGCTCACTTACCCACAAATTCATCAGAAAATTTTCAGAATTGAAGCGCTTATTATTCAGTATAACCTCACTTTTATTTCTTACTTTGTTAAATTAAGGTTTATGGTCTACGAGTATATTATATATGCAAATATCGGTTTATTTAAGTATATAAGATTGTCAAATATCTCCCTTCCGCTTTTTTGCTCTTCATTCAATGCTTTATAAAAAGTGTTACAGTGATTGGATTTAGTTAAAATATGCGCCGTTTTGTTCGATGATCTGTTTCCATCTAGACGGCAACATCATATACCTTCCTCGTAGAAGCCCCCTCCTTTTTTGCCAAGAATTCGGACAGCCACTTTTCACAAGCCTCTTTTGAGTTCAACTTCACACCACCAAGGGCATTCGCCATGGACAGGAAAAGGTGGTAATCACTTGGCGCTACGTCCGGGCTATATGGTGGATGTGATAAAACCTCTCATCCGTGCTCCCGTAGCTTCTGACGTGTTATCAACGAAGTGTGTGGTCTGGCGTTGTTCTGGTGGAACACTACAGTTGACCAATTCTGGACGCTTCTGGTCGATCGCCTGCCTCAAGCGGTCCAGTTGTTCGCAGTAGATGGTAGAATTAATCGTCTGGCCATATGGGAGCAGCTCATAGTGGATGATTCCCTTCCAATCCCCCCAAACACACAGCAAAACCTTCCAGGCCGTCAATCCCGGCTGGGCTACTGTTTGGGACGATTCACCGGCTTTCGACCACGACCGTTTTCGCTTGATATTGTCGTATGTGATCCATTTTTCGGCTCCAGTCACCATCCGCTTCAAGGATGGGTCGAGTTCGTTCCGTTTCAGCAGCATATCGCAGGCGTTGATTCGGTCCAGAAGGTTTTTTTGCATCAAATTATGCGACACCCAAACATCAAATTT